AAAATCTAAAAAAAAATATATACAGAAACAAAAAGGTATCAATGATGATTTCATGTAATGTAACTTGTATAGTAAAGTAACTTCAGTTATGATTATGTTGTCTACTTATTGGCAGGTTTGATTGAAAGTTATGACATGACAGAAGATAGTGGAATAATAAGGAAAATGAATTAAGAACAAAAAGACGATTTGATAAATGTAAGATAAAAGGTGATGAAGTTGTTGTTATAAACTCATGTTCAAGTAGTGTTTTTTTAATAAATTTAGTATAGTATTATTTTGGTAATTTATTTATAATCATTTATTGTGTTAAATATGTCTTAACAGGAAAAGATAATGTTACTAACAAGAAGCTTGATGAAGATGAAGACTCTGATTTTGAAGATGACAAACTTGTGGTAACAAGGAAAAAGAGAAGGCATTATACTTCATTCAAAAATGATGACAAAGAAATGTGAAGAAATTTAAAAGACAAAGGAATAAAGAAGGAAATGTAGTGAAGGCAAGAAAACTGCCTAAAGTTGTAGCAAGTGATGCATAAGAAGCAAGGCAAATACAAGTACGGACATCTCCAAATGTTTTGTACAATTGTATGCATAACCTTAGCAAGGAACAGGAATCTTATATTTCTTCTATTGGTCTGGGGCATTTGTTGAATATGAAAGTGGATGGGTGTGCATCAATTATGGGGCATTATATTGTAAGGAATTTTGATGCAGATAGGATGGTACTCAAACTTCATCATGGAGAGATACCAATCAATTGGCAAGTTATTCACAAAATGTTGGGTCTGCCTCTCGGACATGTTACATTAAAGTCCATGCCTTATAGAGAAGTCACAGACGACACGATAACTATTCGGAGAAAACAATTCGAAGATGAAGATAATATTATACCAAGGGCAGTTCAACAAGTTATTATGCAATCAACACGTACGGATTTAATCTTTAAAGTAAACATCTTCGTCCTGTTGTGTAATACACTAGGTCATTCGATGAGCATGGGAACATGTGACCTGTCGATGTTATCAAAAGTCACGAAAGACCTGGATCTAAGTGACATTGATTGGTGTGGATATGATTTTGATTGCCTTAAGGAGACAAAAAGTGCATGGATTCCAAACAGCCAAAAAGGATTCTATGTTGGGCCAATTATATTACTGCTGGTAAGATTTGTTTTAAATTCAGCTGTCATTCAATATTGGTAGACTTATGTGTGCAGATTCATTAAAGTGTATTTAAGTAATACATTTTTTATTTGTCTTTGTTGTAGTTGCTATACGTAGAAAGTGTTGATGGGAAAGTGTTTGATGGGATTCAGTGAAGTTGTACGATGCAGACCAGCAATATGTTGTTGGAATGTTGATAAACTACGTGAGCGAGAGAGAGTAGAGTGTAGGACAATTGGTCTGGGTATGGGTGAATTGCAAGATCCATTTCAAGTCATCAATGAAGCATCGGGAATTGGTAATGTAGGGCAAGAAAAAGTTCAGGTAATATTTTATTGTATTGAATAATGCATATGAAATTTATTATTTGTTATTTTTGGTATAATCTAAATTAATTATATTCATACATTATTGATAGGGATATGATGCAGGATATGTAAGGTGTAAGGTATTAATATAATATAATCATTACTAAATAATAAGTTATTAGTACAACAACTAATATTGTATTACTTTTCGTAGGGAAATCAAGGAGATGATATTTTTAGTGGAAGTGGGGAAAGTGTTGAGGTAGGTTACTACGTATTCACAGTTGAATAATTAGTTACTATAGTATTAATTAATACTAACTGGCATATTAATGTTTTTATTTGGTTTATAACGTAATTCTATTGTGGTGACCTAATTAGACAACTATTTCAATAATAAAAGAGATGTACGACATGATATTGCAGCAAAAGAAAGTGTTGGAAGACAAAATAAATGATGCTGTCAAGAAATATCCTGAGAATCAGTTGGTCAAACAATGGAAACACAAATTAAATGATTTGTTTAGTGAAGTTTCTGCATCAGAGGAACCAGAATAATCTCAATGGTGGTATGATAACGAGGCTGAAACTGAACGTACGCTGATTCTAGCTACAACTCACAAACAGTTTGACAACTCCCCAATAGCAAAATGTAGTATTCAAATGTCACAGGAATATGCAGACTTCGCGAATAGATCTGGAAGAAATCTTTTAAGAATACACCACCATCTAAAACGGAAATGCCAATTCCTTTTTCTGTAGTACCATTCAACAATGATGAACATTGTGTTAGTAGAAGAGGGTACAGGCCTCGCATGAAATCCGAATATCTGAAATGTCCTTACATTATACGGGCTGTTGATATCATCAAAGGAGTTCCACGGCAGGAAACACGTGTAGTAGAATGGATATTCTCACTCCAGGGAGAGCCAAAGTAAGTTGCATTTAAAATATTTTTAAAATTACTTAATTTTGTGGGTTGCTTATTAAAAATAGTATTAATTGGTCACGTCTTTTGCAGTGATATAGTTTTCCACACTTTGGATGAGTTTTCTGCTCAGAGGTTTCACATGGAAAGTTTTTTTCCAACATGTGAACTATTTGGCCATGTCAATGATTGTTGGAGTCAAGTGTTGAATCTTGATAAAAGTAAGCATGAACCTGAATCGTCTCTGAGAGTTTATTGCAAGACAGATGTGACGGCATAATTTAATATTTTTCAATGTTGATTATACTATTTTTTTAAATACAACATATAAATAAGTTAATGAGTTTGTAAAAATGGATCACAGAATTCGTATCTTGAAAGTGATTTAACAGAAAGTCAACGTAAAGATAAATTCATTGAGAATCTGGTGCTTTCTATTGAAGATATGGACGCAAGCCTATGTTTTGTTGGATTGGTAAGAGATATATCTCCACAGTTTACTTATGTGTTTATTTATCTTTGATCAAATATGAATATTAAATAAAGTGAATACAATTGTAATGAATAAATGTTGTAGCTTTTCCTACCAATCATCCGTTCCTTCAACATTTTCCTTTTTGTGATCAATCTACAACACCCAGAGTTTGTAATCATTGACAAAAACAAAGTTGATGATCCTGATGGTGAGAGATATGGTCAGTTGCCCCAAATCATTATAAGTGATTAATAAAAATTACTTTACATAGTTAATAAAGTTTCATATGTGTTGACAATGTTTTTTACATTTTAGAAAGAGTACATAGTTGATTACTTAAAATCTCAAAATCATCCAAAAGATGAGATGTTTTCACATGTGATGCCACATAGACTGGAAATGCCTTAGAGAGCAATAAACAACATCATTGATTGTGGTGTGTTTACGATGCATCACATGGAAACACATATGGGTGGAAGTATGAATGAGTTTAAAGCTGGGTTCAAGAACGAGTCTTCTGCACAAGATGATCAACTTGTTAAACTAAGGACAAAGTATTTATACAAAATCATCACTCATGAATATAATGTGAAAAAGGATTATGTTCTGCAAAAGGTTGATGAATTCCACACGATTCCTTCAAGACAACGTTCTCAACTGTTGGCCATTGCAAAGGAAGAAATTCACAGGAGATTGGATGATTTAAGTTAATTATGTTAAACAAGTTATTTTAGTTATGACTTCAATGGTTTCTTTTAGATAGTTTTAAAACAATGGTTTTGTATTCTAAGGATATTAACTTGGGTTGCTGAACGTACAATAGTTACTTTTGGTTTGCTAGTTTTAGTAATGGATTAGTGATATTTTAGTAGCTATAATTTTACATTAACATTTGAAAAATTAAGTTATGTTAAAAAATGATGATTAACATTGATGGTATAGTTTTAGTGTATATTCAGGAATGATTCTTACTAACAAACATTTGTTAATATGCTATGTTACTATGACCATACAATTATAATTATTAATAATTAAAGTGAATATATCTATATTATATAATGATTGTTGTTGGGTTTATATCTTAAAGTATGTTGTTATTCAAATATTGAATAATAGCAAAAATACTTGAATTATTCATAACATATTATACTTTAAATGCAAATTGTTTTAACTTAAGAGAAGAGTATTTAACAATTTTAATATCATCAATATGTTGAAAATAATTAATGTATTTATGATGTTATTCATTATTGACTGTAATTAAGGGTTTAAAGTCGACCATGGTTTAACTTATGATTAAATTTTACCCAAAAGAAAAAGTAAATCAATATATGATGTATTGGTGTTTTAAAAGTTAATCGTACAATCATTTATTATTAAGATATACTACTAACAGCATACAATAAACTATGAATACTGCTTTAATTGTATATGACTATAGTATATAATGATTGATGATTTTATAATTTCAAGAAAGGAAAAGTATATCTATTCTAAGTGCGAACTGTTTTAATCAAATAAAAGAGGTTTAAATGCCACATAATATCATTAATCTATTAGGATTACCAAATTTGGCATTGTTATTGTTCATCGTTGAATAAAACAAAACGTTAAAAATAATGAAAGTGTTTTAAGATAACATAACATACTAAATCATAGAAACATATTCTTATTCATAAATCTAATAGAAAAGTAAAATCTATTGGGAAAACGAATGGGCAATTTTAATCTGCTTTTGACTCCCGTGCAAGTCTTACTTTGCAAGTCCTCCAATTATGGTTAGCATATTGATTGCAACCTGTGCACATTCTGGTTTTTTTCTTTGCAGCTGCAACGACTTTCTCAATAGCACTAACCATTCTTTTCTTAGTTCCACTACCTTTGATACGTATAGATGCAGGTGGATGGATATTTATTTCATTAGGAATGCTGCGTATTCCAAGCATCCGAATAATTTCTTCTTCATCGTTATCAGGTGATGTTTGGTTTGAACTGCCAAACTCCATTGCTTCCTGCTTCAACGTACGTGTTTTTTCAACAAATTCCAAGAATTTCTCATTGCTTCTTTTGAAATCATCCAAGCAGTATTCAATATTGTTGTATGCCTCTATTAGAATTTTAAAGGTGTCCTCTTCTGTTTCCATGGCAACATGTTTCATGGCAAGCAAATGGCTGGAAATTGCATCCCTTCTCCATCTTCTTAGAATATACTGCTCTGGAATCTCTTCAACATGGTTGTTTTTCAATACAACAAAAATACGACGACACAAAATGCCACTACGTATGAAGTGATTGCATGAACATTTAACTTCTTTTTCAGGCAACTTTAGTTCAACCTATATTGTATAATAAAAATAATGTATGTTAGTAACTGATTGAATTAACATATTAGTTGGTGGTTATTGCATAATATTGAAAAAAATATATGTAATTTAAAAATAATGATATAATATACTTGTATGATGACTAATGAAAAGCGTTTAAACGATGAATATAACCTTGCATTTTATCTTCAACTGTTTGCTCTTATCCGTTTGTGTAATCATAACAACTTTCCATCCATCAATCTTTTCAACACTGTCGATAGAACAGTACCAGGTTGCTTTAAATATTTCCTTTTTGACCTCATAGAAAATATTTTTAGTGTAAACCGCAGCTGCATGTTCTAGTAAGCTACTTGGAAGCGTCATTTCATGCTTTGCATTTTTTGTATCATGTTCTAGTTTCTGTTGAACATTTCATTGCTTTCCAATTGTGGTGTCGTAGTTCATCATGAAATAGATAAGCTAATTACCAGAGTTAGAGTATTTATTAAAAAATTAGTTCACGCTTCCAGACCTTGAAGTAGTTTTCATCAGACCGTGTAGTGGCATGTCTTTAAAATAGGCTGGAATCCAAAGTTTTCGATCCCTGTACATGTCTTTGAACCATCTTTTGTCCTGTAGTTTGAATTTTCTCATAAGCAGTTTCCACTTTGATTCAAACACTTCAGGCTCGATGTAGACATTCCAAACAAGCTTCGTAAACCGCTTTCGAAAATGAGTGTTTTTAAAAAAATCGGCTGAAACCTAAAAAAAATAGAAATTTATAAGATTAACTATGAATAAACAATATGTATGCTAATCATTATTAAAAATATGTAAACTGTGTAAATCATTGCTGTATAAAACATGTTGCGTGTTAACTTAAACCAAAATATACACAACTTGGCTTGTAGTTTTTTCATAATGTGCCACATACATAAACGATGATTAGAAGTAGGATATATTGCTTCAATGGCCTGTAGAATTGCTGGATCTTGGTCTGTTAACACTAATTGAGGATGTTTTACATGTGCTTTCAAAAAAGCTTCGAGCAACCAACAATAAGATTCTATTGACTCGTTGCTTAACAAACCTCCTACAATGTTTATTGAACGTTTGTGGTTATCAATGGCTGTAAACGGCACAAAAATCATTCCATACCTGTATCAAAAAGGTAATTAAAAACAAATTCAACATTGATTATAAACTCAAAATACATCAATATTCATATTTAAATAAAACAAAATGTATAATAAGTATAAGAGCATACTTATTTGTTCGGAATGTAGCATCAAATGATATCACATCTCCAAACTCCTTGTAATATAACTTATCGGTTTCATCCGCCCAAAACATTGCGTTTAACACACTATTAACACATTTATACTCAAATGTGTAGTTCTATAACTCATCTTTCCTCATGTTCATTTTGTCAACAACCAGCTGTGCATCCTTGTCACCTATAATGTTTCCCATCTTCCTTCTGAAATTTTTATAATCAATTGCTTTAGGGCCAACATTTTCATAACCTCCTTTCAAACTAGCTTGTAACTTATGTGCCTTTGTTGCACCAATGTTAGATGTTGAAGAACGCACTATAAACTCCTTGTCTTTATAACTAAGTCGTCGTGCACGTTTGGAATACCGTCTTTTTTCTTTAGTCTCTAGGGGGTGGTTGTGATTCTCTTCAAACTCATATATTTTACAAGCATTAGTTTGCATATGTAACCTTTCAAACTTTATCAATGCCTTGCAGTCCGTGATTTTGAAGTTTGAGTTTCGTTTATTCCTTCCACTTCCCTCAGGATCCAAAGTGTCAGTTGATCTGTTAGGTATTTTACCCATTTTGTTGCACACTACATACCTTTTTTAATGGTTTTGTCACCAAACCTCGTTACTGTATTAAACCTGACACTAAAACCTGTTTTATCTGCATATAATTTATACATTTCAACCGCCTCCTCTAATGATTGATATATACCATCTACATCTGGCATAACATCTTTAGGAACAATAGGTTTCCACAACTTGGTTTTCCCACCAGGCGAGTCAACAACATTACTATTGAATGATTCCTCTTCAGAATTAGTTTGATTTGTACCTATTTTTTAAGACAACAAACAACAATAATGCGACATGCAAGACATGATATAAATTTCTATCAATTACGTATACATAAACTACATAATTTTATAATCATAATCAACGTCTGTGAAACAGTAACCAAAGTTGAAGTGCTTACTCATTTTAATCGTATTAACGTATAATCACCATTGATTATCAAACTTAATCAACATTGTATTAAACTTAAGAAAAATCACCGATGAGGGACTACTGTACAACGTCTATGAAACAGTAATCAAAGTTGAAATGTTTACTCATTTTAATCGTATTAACGCATAATCACCAATGATTATCAAACTTAATCAACAATGTATTAAACTTAAGAAAAAATGTACAAGGAGGGACTCCTGTACAATGATCTATGATATACACCATCATTACGTAATTAATACATGCAACATATATGACTAATCGTATACAAATATGTACTCCGGTCTTATTCATCATATACAAAAATTCAATAATTATTGTAAAACAAGTTCTGTATTTACAAGATGTTGATATTGTTTTCATTTTTTACCTTCACTCGCATAATCGGATAATTGATTTCTTCCGCTGTATTGATCATCCGAATTATAGAAATCATCGTCATCATATTCATTACAGTTGATTGCTTCTTCGCCATATTGATCATCATCTTCTGTATCATCGCTAATGTAATCAAAACAGTCCGACATCGAAATTGATTTGAATCACGAATGGTATACTGCTTTGTTATCTTTAATCGTAAATGATGAACAATATACAAAAGTCGATTGAATGCAAAATCCCGAATTCTATACTGGAAATCGTCCCTGGAAAACGTATCTTCAATTCAATATCTCCTAGAACGATAACTATGGAATATCCCTTAATTATAGGTAAATATTAATGGATAATATTTTGATTATTATTGTATTATATTAATTAAAAATTAGATTAAATACAAATTTACTTAAATACCCTAATAAAATGGTTGTCTGATAAGTGTTCTCGCATTCTCAATCTTTTAGGCGTTCTCATTTGATCATACTCATATATATATATATATATATATATATATATATATATATATATATATATATATATATATATATATATATATATATATATATATACAGAGAGAGAGAGAGAGAGAAAATAAATATTTCAAAATACTATTTTTTTTAAAACTTAAATTCCATTAAAAACACAGAAAATGAAAAAAAAACATTGAAATTGAAAAAAGAACATAGAAATTAAAAAAAAATCACATGACAACTAGAATTCAAACACACAACTCATTATATATATATATATATATATATATATATATATATATATATATATATATACTAATTTTGAAGTACCACATGAACAGTTCTTTGTTGTGATTTGCTGAATTTTTTTTTCTTTTTTTCTTTCCTGATCTGCTTTTAGTTATTTTTTTCGTTGGCATACACGTGGTGTGTAAGTCCAAAGCTAACATGTACATGTTGGGTTTTATGAGTCTTGAGTTGTTGACGCAGCTCATTTCAGCGACAACCCTTTCTTAGCCCCGAGTTTCCTCTTGCTTTCATCAATACTCTTCGTTTTCTTTTGCAGATAAACCCTAAAGTAAATTTTGGAATAATGTGTGTTGTAGAGTAGACACCACTCAAGAAAGAATTAATATGAAGAAATTGAAGTAAATTTCTATCGACCTATGGAAAAGTATTAGGATATATTAAATCGAGCATATGCATGAGAAAAATCCTAGAAGGCTAGTATAAGTAATCCAATATATGTTTGATAGAAACGTGAAAAACCTAGTTGAGTCTAGGAGAAACTGTTGTACGTATTTTTTTGAATACGTTCATGTGTGATAAGTTGCTTTGTGAAAACTTTTGAATGGTGACTTGGGAACTATGAGACAATACTTGGGATGAGTATGAGTAGGTGTGAATAGTAGTAGAGGCCTATACTACTGGAAGCACAGGACTCACATTTGGATCAGGAAAAGTCACAAGGTTACCAAGAAGCTAGTAAATAATTTCGTTTTATTCATGTGTGTCGTTACCTTCGTTTCGGTAATGACTAAGAAGATAATTATCATTCAAATGTTAATGTCATAAAGAATCGAGTCCGATTAGTATGAATCCGCGAAAGGAGTTGATTGGTTCAGAGAACCATGTCTTATATAGTGACAAAACATGAATAGGAATACTGAAGAAGTAAATGGTCGAGATAGTCGATAGAAATATAACAATCTTCATTAAATAATTGAGCAATCATTAGTCAGAGATGTGACTTGCTATGTGGTGTTACTGGCCACAAGAATGTATCCACCCTACACTTACTGATCGAATGGCGGGGAGTCAAGTTGTCGTTCAACAATCAAAGAGTACTCCAACTAAAAAGGAGGAGGTGCCAAAAGCTAAAAGATATGTAGGTCCGAAAGCACGAATTAGAGATACGTGGTTCTATTCTTTCTATTCCAAAGCATCTACGTGTTGATCAAACTCTTTTCATTTTCTTTATTCCATCAGCTTGATTTATTTGATCTGATTTTAATACAAGAGTTTGGCTCATTATGTGTCTTGTGTGTTATAAATACAAATGTCATTAGATTAAAACCATTCGAGTTGCTGTTATAGAAAAAATAAAGACCTTATCTTGGGTTTAGTCTATAAACATAGAAGGAGCAGGAGTCTGCAATGAGAATTGAGTTTTAACTCAAAGATTAGGATCGAATGTTCAATAGAGAATGAAGAGCGGGTACAAATTCGAAGACTACCAGTAATTAGGAAGTTTGAAGAATTTGACAATCGTTTGGCAAACTAAAAGCTAAATATCGTACATTTTAGATTACCACAAAGGAAGTAAGTTAAAAACTCGAATGTTGTGACTAGTAATTTTCTCGTAAACTCTAATCTACGCATATGTTATTTGATTTCAATGCCTCAGATTCTTTCGTGCCTTATAAATTCGCATATTCTTTTCAAATTGCTTGTTACGCAGTTGTCCAATCATTTCATATAGATAACATAGGAAATATATCATTACTTGCTGATAAAGCCTATAGAGTTAGTGTTTTAGGAATTGAAAGTTATAATCTTCCTGCTAACCTAATTCCTATCTTTGATATTATTCTCGACATGGATTAGTTGTTAAAGAACCACGCAAAGCTCTTGATCTAGAAAGAGTTGATATGCATCCCTATCGAAAGGGAAGATCCTATTTATGTCTACGAAGAAAGTAATAAATTCGTTCTTAAAAACTCGTAAATTATGTCGTAGGGATATTCTACTTATCCGGCTTATACATTTAATACCTTGAAAGAGGAGAAGAAAACTGTGAATGATAACCTTTGGATAATTATCGACTGGTTGATGAAGAGTGCATATATTATCGCCACACGTGAAACGACTCCATTGGAAAAATACGCGTAAGTTACTTAGACGAAATTGTGGCAAGTCATGATGTGCCACTATAGATTATTTCCGACTGTGATACTCGTTTCACTCCTCACTTTTGGGTGAGAATGAAACATTAATTAGGATCTCGAGTTGCTCTTAGTACAACTTATCATCCTCAGAAAAATGGTCAAAAGAAGAGAGCAATCCAAACAGTAGAAAATATACTGAAGGTATATAAAGTATTGTATGAGTGTAAATGTCATATGTTGGCGTGACATAAGATAGAAGATCTTTATAGGATCTGAAATGATTCAAGACATCACTAACAAGATACAAATTTTCCGAGAAAGAATGAAAGCGGCCCAGGATCGATAAATTCCCTATGCAGAAAAGAGGAGACGACCCGTAGAATTCCTGGTGGTTGATTTAGTAATACTGAAGGTCATGAAAAGGTGTTATGCTATTTTGGAAGAAAGAATGGTTGGTAAGCAAGCATACTGCTTGGAATTGCCTAAAGATTTGACAAATATTCATGAAGTGTTTCATGTGAGCTATCTATGTAAAGGTTTAACCATATATGATGAAATGGTTCTATTATCCGAGATGATGCTGGATAATAAGTTAAGTAGAAGAGATCCTAAATAAAAGAACGACTAGTTTACGTAATAAAGAAATGAAGTTGGTGATTGTCAAGTGGAAGCACCATCGAGGCCCAAATTATACTTGGGAAAAATAAGAATGGAATAAGAGTGAAGTATCCTTAATTGTTTTAATCGTTATGATTTTGGGGACGAAATCCTCAAAAGGAGGAGTTATTTGTAACGTACACGTTCTGAAATTGTGTATTGTTATTATTAAAAGTGAATAAAATTAATTGTTGAGTTCTAACAGCTAGTTTTTACTAGAAATGAAGTAAAACTATTTTTAGAATCACTCATAAAATATTGGAAGTCTTATGAGATTCCAATTAATAGCCAAATAATGAAAATTTAGCGAAAATATAAAATTTGAAATAAGTAAAATTTTATTATTCGATGATGTAAATCATCTCGTTAGAAACTTGTAGGCGAAAACCTCGTCGAAATCCGAGTTATAACGAAGAAGTTATGACCAACCGAAGATCCGCGACAAAACCGCCACGGTGCCGAATGACGTAAAAAGTGAGTTTTTGATAAACCACTTTTTAGCCTTATTAATCTAAATAAAAGTTTTAATATTCGTTAAACCGAGAATTTCGATAAAAAGAACGCCAAAATCTGACTTCGTATGAGGAAGTTATGATTTTTCGAAGTTTCAACTTAGCAGTAGACAACTAAAAACTCGAATTTTAGATCGAGCGATATTTTACCGATACATCCTAAACGAGAATCAAAGGTCTCATCAAAAGTAGCTGACGAATAAGTTATGACGTGTGTCGGATGAAGAAGTTATGAATTTTAACGGATTTTCCTGTCCCGGTCTGTTAAAAATAATAATATTAAAATTAAACTCAAAATTAGCCAAACAAGTCCAAACGAAAGTTATAGAGCGTAATTTTAGCTACGCGTGCATATAAAGAACGTCAAAAATGGAGCTCGTATGCGAAGGTTATGGATTTTAGAAGTTCGGGGCACATTTTCCAAAAAATCTTGCATGAATAGTACCAGCCACATCACCTCGCACGAAGCAGGTGCGTCACCGGAGATGTGGCCAAATCCGAAGTCAGCAAGTGTCACAAGAAGATTCGCCGAGGCCGAGGTCCAGCAGGAAGGGGACACGTCTCACATTGGTGGCCAGTCCGACGCGAGACACGTCTCGCCTACCCGCCTCGCACCCGGTGCCACGTCCAAGCCTCGCAGTGGCCTTGTGGCCTTCGCTCCTCCTGCCAAATGTCCGAAGCTCGCAGGTGCACGTATTCTCCCCTCCTCTCGCTTCGTGGCCTTCGCTCCAGCAGCCACGTGCTTGCTTCTCAACCACAGAATCCGAACCTCGCCCCTATAAATAGGAGGGTTTGAACCCTCCGGGGTTGAATTGGAAAATTTCCATTTTTGGCCCCTTTTTCCATATTTTCACTATTTTGACAATTCCCGGAGCCCCGATATCAATTTTAGCATCCAAAACACGTCCCGAAACCCCCTAGAAGCCCGGAAATTTTATCTTTTCGGTTTTGAAGCCCTACATTCGCAGAGCCTGGTTTTCAATTAAGCTCGCGGTTTTCAACATAGAAAGACATATTTAAAGCCGAAATGTTGTCCAAATTACTATTTTTAACCCCCGGTTAACTTAAGGTGAGTTCAATATATAGGAACAATTGTATGTTATGTGTTATATGTGCTATGTGCTATGTGCTTCTCAATGTTATTATTCTGAGTTATTCTCCCGTGTTATTTTATTCGCTATGTTTATAGCAATTATAATACCTTTAACTATGTGATCAGTGAAAGGACTTA